AGTAAAGAAAATTAATTTAGCTTACTTGAAAAAAAATCATAAATTTTCCACAGTACATTACTCAACTAACCCTAACAATCTCAAGATCCTTTCTTAAAGCAAGGCAACTCTCTTTCCAACTTCAAATTTAGTAATGAGGCATTGACATTTGCTTTGTCTTCCTAGTTTTCCTATCTGAAATTACATTAGCAAAGGCCACTACAATCCACTTATGCGACTCAAGTATGATCTTAGTCCTCTTTAGCTCCATCAGTCGAACACTCCACCACCTATGCCATATCGATCATCTTTTTCATTATCGGAAACTTTTCTCCCAATGTCTCTATTGCAGTCACTAACTCATCCATCCCATTATCTCCATTCTTTTTCTTGGCAATATCACATGTTACTTTCCCAATTGCATCCTTACCCATAAACACATCTCTTGAAAATTTACTAAAAACCCATATCCATCAGTGGTAAAATTGATTTTAGGGCGAGCACTATTAGGGTTTTGACCACCCATCTCATTAAATTTAACATAAACCTTCAGTAAACTATGCCCTACACTTGCCTTCCAAGAATTTTTTATCTGAAACCCACCAATCATCCCAAGGTCAGTCCTAAAAACATTGAGGCCCTAGGCGACTTATTATCTTAAGGCCTTTAAGCATAATCTTTTTATAAACTTGGCAATACTTATATATTGGTTTCTACTGCAATGATATTGATTCATATATCAATTTTCCTATTTGGCTCAGTTATTTACAAAATCGGAACATGAAGCCTTATTATAACTATATTTAAGGTATGCCTTTAGCACAATTTCTATACAATTCTAGTAAAGAGATTTAATGTAGCTCAATTGAAGGAAAATAATCAATTTCCTATAGCACACTACTCAACTAACCTTAACAATCTCAAGATCCTTACTTGAAGGCAAGGCAACCCTCATTCCAACTTCAAATTTAGCAATGAGGCATTGACATTTACTTTGTCATCTTAGTTTTCCTAATTGAACTTACATTAGCAAAGGCCTCCAAAATCCTCTAATACGACTCAAGTATTGTCTTAGTCCTCTTTAGCTCCATCTAAATTCGCATTTGCTCTATCTCCCATGCAATATCGATCATCTCTTCCATTATCACAAACCTCTCTCTCAATATCACTATTGCAGCTACTACCTCATACATCCCATTATTCCCGTTCTTCTCTTGGAAATATCACCTATTCCTTTCCCAATTTCATCTCTACCTATAAACCCGTCTCTCAAAAATTTACCAGAAACCGGTTAGAATTGATTTTAGGGCGAGCACTATTAGGGTTTTGACCATCCATCTCATTAAATTTACCATAAACCTTCAGTAAACTATGCCCTACACTTGCCTTCGAGGAATTTTTATCCGAAACCCACTGGTCGCCCCGTTACTCATAAGCTCCTGATTACTAAAATTACCTTTCCGATTATTGTAATTATTGTTGTGTGCATCGTAAATGCATGTGATGTTTTTGAGATCATCTTCTTCTTTTAGCTCGTCAACAGTTTCACATCTCTTCTTCTATCCCTAGCTAAAATCGATAGTTTTTTCTTAAATCTTGGATAGGTTGTGAATTGACTATGGATTAGATTTTTATTGCGAGGCCCCCAAAAATTTGAGGCCCTAGGCCTTTGCGTAGTTGGCCTTAGGTCAAGGCATACCCTGAGTAAATTTTCATAAATAAGATATTAGGTATATTCCTTTTCAAAATTAAGAATAAAAGTTTGAAACTTCAAACATTAGATTTTAGTTAAATTTTATTTATGAAATATTTAATTAAAAATATATTTTATTAATTAAATATATTAATGTCACAATTTTATAATATTTGGTTACAAATTATCGAATTAGATAATTAATTGGTCACAAATTATTTCTTGGTTACAAATCAAAAATTTTATAGGTCATAAATTGTTTCACGATCACAAATCAAAAAATTTATGTGTCATAATTTATTTATTAGTCACAAGTGACAAATTTTATAAGCCATGACTCAAAATTTTAAGTGACACATTTTTTATTGATCATAAGTTATCATTCACATATTATTTATTGGTCATAGAATATTCAATTTATTGGTCACAATTTCAAATATTTATTAACATATTATTTTTATTGATCACAATCAACAAAATAATTTGTGACCATCACCTCACCACCATGCCACACAGCACCACCGTCAAACACCACCGCTAGAGCTACCCCACCACCTCACGACAACCTATCAACACCACTGCACATTGCATACCAACCAAAGCAACCATCATGTCGCCAGCACCATTGCACCATCACCGCACATAGTCACTGGCCAACAGCAGCGAACCCAACCACCCACCGCACACAGTACCATGCCCAACCACTTGTCAACAACACCATACCCTGCACACCTACCAAAGCCACCATCACACCGCCAACACCACAGCACACAACATCGCACCATTACCGCACACAACCACTTGTCAACAGTACTGCTCTCAACCACCCATCACATATAGCATAACACCTAACCATTCATTGCACACCAAAACTGCACATCGCCAACACACCCAACCCAACCACCGCAAACAGCACTGCACCACTGCACACAACAACCATCTGTGACTAGAGAAAAAAATGGAGGAAAAGACTCCCGATCTGTAGTGCCCATGGGAAAATCGCCTCACTGCTTGCAGTGCCGCGCGCAGCGGCGTCACCTGATCCATAAACGATCTATACCACACCGCTATTTGGTTTGATCTACATCTTTAGTTGCACCAATCGCCGTGTGCAACCCTCATTGCTGGCAAGAGGTTAAAGAAGGTGAGAAAAGAGAGAACAGAGGTAGGAAGTAGACAAAGAGAGAGAATGGAGAGAAATAATTAGGATTTGTATGGTAGATTAATTAATTTTTGAATTGTTATATTTAGAAAAAATATTTATTTTATATGTATTAATTAATTAAAGAAACTCCGATTTTTGAACAAAAGAAATATGACCTATGATTTATGAATTGAGATCTCCAAATCTCTTGATCCCTGTAATTTTCACTTACTAAAATTACTTTTTCGGTTACTGTAATTATTGTTGTGTGCATCGTAATGCATGTGATGTTGCTCTGTGATCATCTTCTTCTTTTGGCTCTTCATCAGGTCATGCCTCTTCTTCCATCCCTAGCTAAAATCGATAGTTTTTCTTAAGTTTTGGACTGGTTGTGAACTGACTGTGGAGTGGGCTTTTATTATGAGGCTCTTTGCCTAGTTGGCCTTGCGTCAAGGCCGGCACTATCCTTTCTCCTTGTTTATCTGAGTAATTTATACATACCAACCTCATCCCCAAATAATTAGTAATAATTTATTGAGAGTTCACGCGTGCCATGCTGATGCTGTGAAAATTTTCCGACCAAGTTGTTCACTAAACAAAAATAAGTAGTGGAAAAGAGACTTCAAGTACCTGTAATTCATTCTGGAAAACTATTAAGGGTTTGTCTTGACACAATTTATTTGAAAATTATTATGCCTCAAATTCAATCTTAATCACATATTCTTTCAATAAAATAATTTTACACGTGAGTTCATGCTTATTTTCTACTTTTTAACACATTCTTTAGAAAAATCGTTTTTCACTTCAAATAACCTCTCCCAAACACTGATATATATCTAATAAAGTATGTTGTGTATACTAATGAAAACAAATAAAAGGAGACCTCGACATATATATTCGTCAATGACATGGCATCATGTTTAATTACCAAACAAAACAAAGCAGAAAGAAACCTCGAACTACACTTACTGGTTTGTTTGGCATGACTTATGAAAAGTCAAAAGTGTTTTTTAAATTAAGAAACTACAGTTGTATATATTTGAATAATTTTCCAAAGTATATTATCTAAATTCAAGAGTCTATAAGAAATAAATTAAATGTGACTTATTTAATAAGCTCTCTTACAAAAGTGAAAACAAAACTTATCCCAAATAGGCTATACACAATCCATTGACATCATATTATTATGAACAGTTACGGTCCCAAACCTAATCGAACCTTATAGTTTGATAATTTTTATCCCTAACCTTTTCTTTTTGTAGCACTAGAGTTCCTAATTAACAATTTTACCCTTGCCTTTAATTAAACTCTCAAATTTGTGATAAAATAATCATTTTATTAGCATCTTCAATAAAAGAAAAAAGCAAAAACTACTGAGATTGGATGTATCTTGTTTTTATTTATTTATTTATGTTTTAATTAGACATTAGGGTAATATTTAATGGAAAATAGTATTTTCTTTTTTAATTAAAGAAAATCATCAATGGGAGATCTAAGCCACTTTACGGTAGAATTAAAATCTAAATCTTAATCTAAGTCAAACTTAACAATTATTTATAACCACATATTTTATATGACCCACAACTTTTGAACCACAAATTTTATCAACTTTTATCAAAATTTACTAAAAATCTGATTTTAATCCTTAGGATCTGAGGTTGCCAAAATGTAAGGTTTAACACGTACTTTCTAAATTTTCAATAAATTTAAATCCCCACATATAATTGCTTCCATACTTATTGATACTCGGTTATAATTTCTCAATCAGTCGTGAATATGATTTCATGTTACACTCTTGTCCAATTATGTGGTGTCTATTTAGACTTAGACTTTCATTTTAAATTAATGTTAACTTTGATAAAATGAGTAGTTTGAGATTTTAAACATTGATTATTTATTTTACTAATAGTCGATCTAGGATTTATCCCCAAACATTCTCGTGTAAGATATTAATAGCTCGTTTATGTACACTAATCTCGAAATTCAATTGCTCATTTAAGCTTTTGTATAAATGAAACTAGTGGTTTATGCCAATAGCCTTGTTCTCTTCACTTATTGCATTACATCCCACCTCACCAAACTTTTAAAACAGCACTAATACACATATTAAAAACGTTCAATACTCATAAGATCTAGCCAATAATCAAGTTAAAAAAGTATAGAACTCGTGAGTAAAACGCACTCTTCAAAACGTCTTAAATCCATTCACAAATTGACTTAAAAACAAGGTAACAATCTTCAGTACAATTTCAGTTTTACATCGAAAACCAAAACAAGACGCAAAACTACATTCACACGTGCGCACACAAGAACCGTATTTAGTACTGCATAAGGACCGTATTTAATGCTATTCTACATCTTTGTGAAAATTTAAGAAGTGACACCACAATAGGCTTTTGCACTGCTCTCAGTCATCTGCGTTGCACCACTGAGGTAGAACCGGGCCAACCCAAAATTATCAAATGGACTGAATTGCAATGGATGATCCGAATCCACAAGCTCTTCAGGAATATTAGTAGTTCCGTGATTGAATGAAAATAATGCAAGACAATATCTTTCCCTGTCCCCTTTCATAACAACTCGATGCTTGGCTGCATGTATTCTCCCATTGCTCCATGCCTAAGACAAATTAAATAAATAAATAAAATACAAAGAAGTCTATACTTTTTTTGAGTCCTTTGAGGAAAAAGAAAACTATTAGAGACTGGTCAATTTATTTAGATTTATTTATCTTCAAAATGCATTCGCATTCAAGTTCGTTTTCATCAAAATCCACTACAAAAGATTTTTACATGTGGATGAAAATGAGACTTAATAAAGTACCTACGTGTTCTAATACTATGTGACTGATATATTTAAGCAAGATGAAAAAAATTTGTTGGAAAACAGAGAGGCATGTATGACACAATATGAAGTATTGATCACACAAACAAAAATAATATTAAAGTAAGAAGAGAGACAGGTGGAGAAACCAATTAATTTTATTGACAACTAATAGAGAGAAAAATGCAATATCAGCAATACATAAACTGGAAGAAAAGTCTACTATTTCCAAGGGACATCTCAAACCCCAAAAATAACTTAAATGAATGGAAACTAGGTTAAAATACGCGTGAACCCGACATAAAACAAAAACCCAGATAGCATCATCATTGCTTGAGCGAGAGCTCGATGATAATCGGCGACGAATCTCTACTCCAAAAGCTCACCTACTGCTCGAGCGACCAGCTAGCGATAGGCTAGCAAAAATCTAACGACTTTTCTTCTTGATTCATAATTTTTATCTCTTTAAAACCATTCAACTAGGACTCCAGATCATGCAAAAAACCTAAACCGAATTTGGGTCACAAAATATATTTATTAATATTTTATTTTCAACAATTGTATAAAATCTTTGAAGTTAAACTAGGAAAAGGGAATAAAATTTCTATCTTAATTAAAAGATTGAAAGGTCAAATGTGTATCTTTTAAAAGTAATGCTATGTAGCCCCACTAAAGTTGCAATTCAAATCTAAGTGGTACTAGATAAAGGTTAAATGAAAGATGAAATTAAATGAATTATTTAATTTTACTTATCAATTAATATCACATTAGTGTCACCTAAACTAGGGTTATAATCCACTGGAACTAAATAGCATTACTCATCTCTTAAATATAGATGAATGTTGACCCGTTTTACTTTCAAAATGTTGTAAAACTGGCCATTTAAGAGTTAAATATAAAGTAATTGTTGCATAGTTTAAAACCAAAACTGTAATATTCCTTATTACTTAGCATCCTGCTTGGCCGTCTTTAAAAATTACTTTTTAAAAAAAAAAATTTGAGTTTTTTCGATAAAGAAAGCAAAACTCTTGAAAGTCACGTTCTTCAAAATAAGTTACTTATTTTATGAGCACAACCAAATATGCTGTCTCTAAATCAAGAAAATATAGAGTAAGTATTAGGAAAAGAAAACCAAAGGAAGTTACTTGATAAGCATCCCCTGACATGACAACAAAAGATGCAGGTGGTACATCCACAGTACTCCAATCTTCATTTTTGAGCTGCACTTCCAATCCATTAACTTCATTTTGATGAAGTATGCTCAGGAAACTCTTGTCTGTGTGAATGTTTGTACCAATATTGTTGCTTATGTTCTTGTCTGGTGCTGAATATTTTATGGGTCTTAGAAGATATGTTGTTGATTCAACATGGGATTCATAGTGTTTTTGTGCACCATAGCTTTCAAACACCATTTTGTCCACCGTTTGCTCCAGTTCTGATATCAGTCTTGCATAAGATAGTATCGTTTCGCTACAACAGAAGTAAAATAAATATAATAAAATTGGTGTTTTATTGTGAATAATTTAGAACAAGTAGAACTAAATTCAACCAGTATTTTTTTCTAATGAAATATATTGGTACATTTAACCAATCCTTCACGGACATGAGAAATTAGGGTTTACAAATGTCACTCCTAAAGTGAATCCTTTTGAGCCAAAATTGAGCTACAGAGTATTGGTGAACATGGTTCTATTTGATTCTGATTCCGAAAGAAACGAATTGGATCGAATAGTACGAACCATGAACCAATGATTTTTTATTTTTTATTTTTTGTAAGAAATAAAATCAATGTTTTTCTAAAGATATGGAACCAAACCGAACCGACCCATTTAGTTCAAATTTAGTATGGTTTGGTTATTGTTCAATTACTTAAATTTTAAATTGATAATGCAAATTAAAATTTATTATTATATTCATAAGTTAGTAGTATAATAATAATAATAATAATAATAATAATAATAATAATAATAATAATAATAATAATAATAATAATAATAATAATAATAATAATAATAATAATAATAATAATAATAATAATAATAATAATAATATCAAACACTCAAGTTCAAATTATCAATCACCAAATAAAATGTTGGTAGTAAAATTCATTCACAAAAATCCAAACTAGAAATTGGATTTTTTGTTGGATTTAATGATTTGTAACAAAGAAAATAATATAAAAAATAATAAATTTAGTTCGATTCATTTCTCGATTCTAAGAACTAAAACCATTTAACTTTTTGGTAAAATCAAACTAAATCGCTCGATTTGGTTTGGTTCTGATTTGATTTGGTTTCATCTTATCGTTTTGTTCACCCTACTTTACAGGGTAAAGTTCTGGCAATTATTCTCGTTTCTATCGTAAATTTGGCCTCAAATATTGAATTTTTTTTTTTTTTTTAAATTGCCCTAAAAAAGATTTCGCTCATCGGCCAAATTGTCAAACCTATTTCTAAGTTGTAGCCATTCTTTTCTTAAAATTTAAGTGTACATCTACCAGTGCTGCAACAATATGCTAAAGATCGAGCATGCTCAAGGTTTTTAATTACAAAAAAGATGAACTTGTAAGGGAGAATGTTAAAAACATAATTTAAATTAATAAATTTGTAATCCATCTTTCATAATTTAAACTTTTAGATGAGATAGTTTGACATCAGGTACCAGAATTGCTGATTTCCAGAAGGCCACATGAGATCCGCAAAACGTCGAACTCCTTCGATGGTCGTAGCATCAGGAATTCCCATGCTTTCGTGGAGGGGAGCATGAGGCAGTTGTCCAACATAACCATAGAATGTCAAATCCGAAGTGTTTCGAGTTTTGGTCTCAAAGGGAAGATCGAATAATTCTTGTACACCATCAAAAACATTTATGTCAAGTTCTGAGGAAAATTTATCATACTTTGCCACGAAAAATCCATACTCTTCAAGTGCATGGCGAACATCTTTGCATGCTGCAACCCAAGAACTTGTGTTGGGCTTCAAAGTTTCCTTTGAAAAATGGATAATCGGAAGATCAAAAAGTGTTTGAGATGCCATACAGCTTTAGATTTCAATGAGTTCTTGATATGCTTAATTGGAATGCTTTAGAAATTGGGAATGGTGTTTGTGTTACTGTTATTATTTTATAATTTGAAATTTTGAACGGCACACTAGGGCTCTTTTGTGCATAATGCTAAAAATATAACTATATTTTATTTGTTCAACATAACATATAAATAAATAATATTTCTGTAACAAATTAATATTTAAAACGAGATTATTGGAAATATATAGAATTTTTTTGAAATAAATTAAAAATATATATATTTTCGAGTACACATTATGCCCCTATTTGATAGAGATTAAAACCAAATTTTTAATAGATTTTGATAAAAGATAATGTGAAGTGTGATTGAAAAATTGTGAATCTTATGAAATGTGGTTAAAATTAATTGTTGACTTTAACTTAAATTTTAATCAAATTTCCAAACAAGGGCAATATGAGACTCGTAACTTCTTCTTCTTCTTCTTTTTTTTTTTAACCACATATTATTTAAAAATAAATCATTTTTTTTTATTTGAAAAAATATCTCCCAAAGAAACGCATAGAATTATGCCCTATATATCCTATAATTTGTTTAAACATTTAGGTGAACTAATTTAATAATAAACATATGAAATATCAAATTGATTTATCGAATCTATGTACTCCTTGGCACTACGTATCTCTTTTGGCATGGCATGTAAGAAATTGACATTTTTACTTTTGTGCATATTTGATGGATGAATTATTATTTGTAAGGTTAAGATTTAGAGGGGCTAAATTTAATTGAGGACGTAGAAAGAATTGACTGATTGATACATATTACCTAACGTTTTTCAAAAAAATATAATAAAACACTCATAATTTTTTATATTACTAATTCTATATAAAGCTATTAAACCTGAGCACTAAGTGGTCCTAATTTTTTCAAAAAAAATATTTTTATATCACCAATCCTATCTAAATTTATTAAACTTAAGCACAAAGTGGTCCTAATTTTTTTCAAAAAAATAATGTAAAACACTCATAATTACAATTATTTTATATTACCAGTCCTATCAAAAATTACTATGCTTGAGCATAAATTGGACCACTTTTTTCTCTTCTAATTTAGATTGGTTTATAGTTATGGATGTGAGCATCCATCTATAAGAATATATGCAAGTTGCACTACAAAATATATAAAATATGTATACTTTCTTTTTAATTGAATTAAAAATAATATTTAGTGTTGAACAATGGTTGTCGACAGGTTGCAAGGTTGGACCAGTAATGAAGTAACCTTTAAGTAAAGAATATTTCTATTTAGGTGTATTGAATTGTTTACCTCCTCTCACATGCACGTGGGACTTGCATGAATTTAAAAAAAAAATCCCAAAATATGGTCCACACCCCCTATTACGGGTAGTTGGTAAGGGATTAAGTAAAAAAATTCGGTACATATAGCATGTTGTGTAAATTAATGAATACATCTACATGAAAACTAGTGATAAAATTTTCTACAATTTGGGACCAGAGCCATTTTAATTACTAAACAAATAAGGCAATCATCTAAGACCCTAGATAAGACTTCCCAAATTGCTTTAATAATTCTAAATATTTTGTATTCCTAAACTTTATTTACTGACAAAATATATTGCAAATTATGTAACAAAAGAAAAAATGTAATCAATGAGAAAGTCTATAGATAACAAAACAATGGCTTAAGATTAGCAATGGATTTTTTCGTCAAACTTAATTAAAAAAAAAAAAAAAGAGGAAAAATAAATCAATTAATTTAACGTGTGGATAAAACTTTTGTCTTTAAATAAAATTAGAAAAGAAATTATTATTACATTCAAAGAATTATGCCATTAATTAAATAACGTTTTTTAAAACATGATTGAAGATCTTAGGATTTTATTGTATTGGCAATCTCATAGATTAAAGGACTAATATGAAAATTTGTAAAAGTCAAAGAGTCAATTGAAATATTGTATAGATGAAATATGTAACTTAGGGTTCGAGTTTGGAACAAGGGGGAAAGAGCCATCAAATTTATGCTAGCCTATCGCTCATCTAATACTCGAGCGAAAAAAACAATAGCCTTATTGTAAGTGTTATGCCCTAGATCCAATCGATTTAGGTTGTAAACACTTTTAATATGTTTAATGCATTTAACTTTGGCAAGATCTTTTATTTATTTAAATTAATTTTGTGATAAATAATATTAAATAATAGAATCCAAAGATCCAAGTTTAAGTGATTTGTTAATCATAAGGATTTGTGATTATAAGATACAAATTACGTATGATTGGATCTTGAGTAATCTGTGGTCGTAAGTAATAACGAGATACGGATATCGTTATTACAGATAAACCATCACATGTGGTATTTCTTACTTGTGAAATAAGTAGCTAATCTCACAAGCTAAAGTGTGGTGACACTTAAATGAATACGTGGATATTTTTTTATAGAACAAAATATTGGAAACCCGTTAAGAGATTCCACATGGATAACTATTTGAGAATCAGTGGTTAATCTCTAACGTTCGGTAGTGGAATTGGTCCTGTGACTTGAGGTCATTATAGTGCCTTGTATGAGGACAGTCATACTTTGACGGTGTTGGGTGTTGCTCTACCAAGAGCCGCTAATACGACATCGTTCGTGTATGTCAAGAACCATATGAAAGTTGTGAATAACCAATAGAGGATTCGTCACTCTTAAATAGTAAGAGATTGTGATCTGCATTTCATTCAATTAAGTCAATAACGAAATCATTGGCTAAAGTATACATATAAGTCGAAAAGGAGTTTTCGACTCATATTGACTTAATAGTAGAATGAAAGATATGATCGATAATCGAGATTGACACACTTCCATATCTCGTAGTTGATCGGATCATATTGACAAAGGGATTATAGTTTCATGGTAAACGAACAGTTTTGGTTTTGTCATACCACGTGACATTTTCCGTCACATGTGTTATCCTGATACATTGCTAGACGTCACTCTGGGACGATGAGTGTGAATTTGTGATAAATTAAAATGGTGTTTAATTTATCAGTTTTGATTAAATCAAAATAATATTTCACATCATTAGGCATCGTGGTCGAAAACCTGATGGGTCGCACTCAAAAGAGAATTGGAAGATTATAAATTGTCAATTAATTAATTTAACAATCATTGGATGAATTAATTAATTGGATCGGTTATTTATATCCCTAATTAATTAATTGGATTAATTAGTTCACGGATCGAATTTAATTAAATGGATTAATTAAATATTGAACTGGACCGGACCGAGCCCGTTTGGGTTTATATAAATACATGGTTAGCGTTTAAGAACCATATTGTTTTAATAATTCTTGTTGACACAAGAGGAAAAACCCTAACAGTGCAGTCTGTTCTTTGTGTGGATTTCATTGGAGGCTGGACAATTGGACAGCCGTGGGAGACAGATTCAAGTTGCTGGAAAAAGGATAACGTAAAAAAGTTTGCAAAATCAAGAAAAATGTATAATTCTCATCACAGTTCTTATCTAAATACAAAGATGAGTTCTGGTGGGAATTGAAACTATTTTATTTCCGCTGTGCATGTTTAAGTAAATTCCCAACAGTGGTATCAGAGCCAACTTTGTATTTATTAGGAATTGAATTACATGTTGATTAAATTAAAAGTTGATTTAATCATGTTTATTTCTGAATCTAGCAATTATGGTGTTTTATTTAATTTCTTCAAGATTTGATTTTGAAAAAAAAAATTGGGTCGAAGAGGGCGATGGCGGCGCACCGCGCGCCGTCAGGCGTTGCTGCGCACGCGGCTGGCAGGTGCAGCAGCACCGGCCGGCAATGGCGGTGGGTCTTGGGTTCCAGTAGGGCGGCGCCGCCACTGGAGAAGTCAATAAAAAAAAAAAATTCAAACCCTAGATGAAGACGGGGGCTTCCCTTGAAATTTATGAAATTGTGGGGATCCATCTGCAATTAAAGGAAAGGGGGTCAATCTGCAATTTTAATAGGAGGGCATTTCTGCAATTGACGAATATGGAAGCCCCTGTTATTAATTTTTCCAATTGGGTCAAATTTGTAATTTTCAAAAGTGTTTTGAATTTGATTTTAAAATTGTTTTTAAAAATATATCTTAAATGGGTTTGACCCATAAGTTTAATTTTGACCCAGAATTAAAATTTATTTAAAAATTGACAACTTTTATATTTTGTTAAAATTAGATTTTAACTTAAATATTTAATTTTGACCCTTGATTGAATTTTTATTTTATTTGGGAGTTTTGTCCTAAATTCAAATATTAATTCAATTTTATTAGAGTTGGACTCTAATATTATATTAATTAAAATTTGATTTCCATTAATACCACTTCCCAATGCAAATTAAAATTTAGAGTATGACTCTATTTAATAATTAATTAAAATTCGATTTTGTTTAAATTACTTCGCCCAATAGTTATGGAATTAGAGTTGGACTCTAATTCGTGATTTAGTTAAAATTTGATTTTAATTAAATAGGCCCGCCGACTTAATTAATTAATATGATTAATTAATTATTTAATTATTTCGATCCAAAATTTTAAATTAGTTTTGATGACTATAATTTCTAGATTTATAAGACATTGCATATAATATTAGATATTATACATAGGAAACATTTATGTGATGAATGTTTATTTATGGATGATTATGGACTCGACCACATAGATGTATTGAGTTGATTTACTTCTTGTTGTTTTATGGGCCTGTGAGCCCTTAATTGTTTTGGACTTGCGAGTCCGTTATAATTATTGTTGTTATGGGCCCGCGAGCTCTTTATTATATTGGACCTACGAGTCCATTGTTATTGTTATTATTATGGGCCTACGAGTCCGATTTCTTTTAGGGCTACGTGCCAACTAATATAGGATACATGTTGCAGCTTAACTAATTGAAGACGCAAGAAGAGGTGGACACCATGGAGATGGTGCATTGATGTTGATCCAATGTTATACCCCTTAGGAATTGACGAACTAGTCTTTCCTTTGGCTCAAGAAAACTAGATAGAACAAGTCCATAATCATTCATACTATTATTTATATATATTTATTCGCATAGTTGATGTATGTTTCAATATATATACTTGATGAG